CAGACACCTCCTGTGCCTCGAGAGGCCCTGGCGCAGGTATCAGGAGCTCCATGCACACCTGGAGCTCAGCAAAGTAGCTCCGTGCACACCGGATCTCATCACAGCTATCCCCTGCTGAGCTGTTGGCTCAGCTAGCCTGGACTGCACCCTGTGCTGTGGAGCCTAAGGCTGGACTTAGGCTGGCTTGTTCCTGCACTCTTGCCATAGCAAAGCTGAACCCAAAGAGGCACAGAGCCCAAAGCTGCACCTGCACCCACCTCTCCCCTCTTTCCCGTCTCAGCATTTCCTCCTCCAGAGGTGCTCCAGTAATCACCATTAACCCCTTTTTGTACCCACAAAGAGGTAAGCCTCGCTGGTGGCCTGTGGCTGGGACTTCCACAGCTTAAGCTATACAACATATGAAGAAACGTCTCTTTTTGTTTCTTCTGAGTCTTGCACTTGAGTCTTTCATCGGACGCCTCCTTGTTTTTTTAAGAAAACACACTTACTTGGTCACCTACTCCGTGGCATTTAGGCTTCACAGATCTCTGCTGCAGACCTCAGCCATCTCTTTTCTGGCTGAAGAGTCCTGCTCTATCAAGCCAGCTCTTACACGGGAAGCGTTTGGAAGTTCTCTGCCTTGCCTGAATCAAAACCCCACCTCCATCAGCCCCAGCTGAGATCACAAGGCAGCAGGAGCACGCAGAGACCCGGGAGGCATTGGGAGTCGCAGAGTGGCTCTGCCACATGTCCCTCTCCCTCTGACACCTACTCTCTCTTTGAACGCTGCCCTCAGCAGCCCTGCCTTTGCACCAGGCAATGGCACAGGGCAGGCAAAAAGCTCCAGTGCATGCAGCTTTAACTTTTAACTTTACAGATGCCAAACATCTAAGGAATTGGAGCAAAACTAACTCAATCAGACAAAACCATCATATTCCCCTAAGCAAGGAATACCTTTGTAATTTGTAAATTGTAAATTAAGGTTTTTAGCATGTTTGAAGACTAATGATGCAAATACACATTTTGGGAGGGACATCAGGTTAGGAGTCCAAAACTGAGACCCAGCTGTGTGTACACAAAAGGTTTTACTTTGAAGTTTGCCTACCTAGAAGGAACTAATTTCCAAACTCTGAGGATGCCCAAATGTTAATAAATTTTCTGAAATGTGTTTGCACAAACTTGTGGTTTTCAGTGAATCCTGATCCATCAAGGCAGATCCCTAATGGCATACAGACCCTTATGTCAGAGGTAATCAAGTATTATTGCAAGAGCTGCTGGCTGTGGGGCCCCTCCTGTGCATGCATAGGGGTACATATGGAAGTTATTAACAAGTTTCAGCAAAGAATTTTGGGAAGTTAACCCCTGGGGCCCCAGAGCACTGCTAACAGACAGCTAGTTGGGAGTAGATGAAGAGCAGTTTCCTGCTGGATGCCTGTGGCATATTGGGACTGAAATCCAGGCCCTTCACAGCCTAGTAGAGGAAGCTCCTCTCACAAGGATTAAACTTTTCAACTTCTGCTGTTAGGAAGAACAGTTGAAAAAAAACATCTGTGAGGCTGTATAAGTTTCCTCGACAAACTGAAATGAGTCAGCTGCAGAAATGTATAACATAACATATAAAAATGCAAACAATTTTCTTATATTTCCCAAATGGCGCTCAAGAGATTGTGAGGAAATTTGTAATTTCTTTATAAGTCCCTTTAGGAGCCACCAAAAGAAACATTTGGATATGGGCCACCAGGAGCTGCTCCTACATGGCAGAGGGACCAGTTCAGAGGAAGTTTCTCTTCCAACATTGAAACAGAAAACGAGTAAGGACTTTGTAATGCCTGCCACAGCTGATGTGCATTTCACATTCCTGTTCTTCCCAAATTGGTTTCCTTTCCTGCACCAATCCTGATCTGCAAAGTGACCTCTCCTTGGGAATAATGAGGATATTCACCCATCATGCTGCTTTAAACTTCCATAATATAATGATGCTTGGCAGTCATTCACTGCTTTTCATCCACAGATCTTAAATCAATTTGATACAGCCCTGCATGGAATTGACTTACTTGTGAGATGGAGATGAGCACTTGCTGTGCAATTAAAAAAAAAAAAAAAAAAAAAAAAAAAAAAGAGATGCCTGCAG